AYTWYAACWYYGMWRTTWRCARSTWTAGCTGTCATTMCAMTACWSRCAKYTMKTACRTKTTWASAWMRTAGAGCAGYCTTAGCTGAWTSTMTTAAWGCACATGTGMCAAMAAAATAAGTTCWGCACGTTGSTTCTAAGACATCCTTTTTCCATCTTTTCAACTTGGAAGAATCCTCAAAATAACATTTGAGTCTTTGAGAACCCCCGCATAAAAATCTACAGATGTATAAAAATCTAGCTCGCTTGAGAAATCTTGTTCCAGGAAAATAGTGCCATGATAAGAACAAAAGTTTACCACTTTTCAAAATTGTTTTTGTTTTTAGAAATCCAGTGAACTTTTAAGGTTCATGCCAAAAAAATACCAAAAAAATGCTTGAAATCTGTCTGGGATAATCCCCGCTTTGATATATTTCTATCTACACATTTTGGTACTGTTCCATTATTCAGGCAGACTCCAAAAGGGGGCTTAGACAGAGAAGGATAGTTTATTTTATTTGGAAGGGAGTTGAAGGAGGAAAATAATTTGCCCTATTTCCGTTGGTTATTTCCCCCACCTCTTTCCAATATCATAAACGAAGGTTGTTTCCACGATGGGGAAAAAACAGGGTGAGACAGCATAACTTCCTTTTAAAAAAGGCGTGCCATTCAGTCGGTTGAAGATGTAGCGGAGCGCTAGTGGTCTCGTTCGAGAGGCGGGAGTATAAAGTTTTGTCCTGACACAGTTCAGTCGCCATCATGCGTTGGAACAGTGAGGAGCGTGCTTTTGCCATTGAGGCCTACTTTTTGAGCGGATTAGGAAAACAGAGGGAAATGGTCTAGCTCCTTTAACCCACTTCCCCCTGTAAAATGGACTATTCTTCTCTGTCTAAACCTGTCAGGTAAAATAGTTAAAATTGTTTTTGTTTTCTTCAGCAGAAAACAAAGAAGGGCTGATGATATGAATAGCTGAAGCTTATTTTTGAGTCAGGGTCTGGAATGGAATGCATTGGGTCTTCAGTGATCTGGGCCAAACTCAGCCTAGATTTCCAAAATTTGGATCTGAACCAAATAGCATTCTTCTACATATCATTACATTTTTTCATTTAATTTGAAGAAACAAACTTTATACAAATTAGAGATATTAAGCAAGACAAATATTCAAAACAGTTATATTACAGTCTTATAACAATTTCAAAATACTTTGCCCAGTTTGCTTTGCAAATCTGATAACTTGAAAAGTGAATATTTTAGAAACTAGATTACCAAAAAGAAATTGAATTTATTTAGAAAATCCACTAAAAGCTTTTTTTATAAAATCAAAAAGAGGTTCCTCCTGCTGCATATATTACAAAAGACTTTACCTTGTGGAAATTACAAGTTTTGCTGCTTTCCCTGAACTCATTTTTCAAAAGTTAGGTTGCTGACGTAAGCTGCACAAGTGCTGTGCCAAAAAGCATGTTCTCCACTGCCTATTTGCAAACAAATGGAACTTGAAGCCTCTTTCAATTACAGTTCCCTCTATTGTATAACAGGTTATTTCAGAACATCTCCTGGCTTTCAAGGATAAAATCTTGAGGGAGGGAGGAATCGCAACAGAAAAGGAAGCTTTCAGAAATTATGGAAGAGTACATGAAGTATTGTTCCGCTTGCTGATGTTGAAACTGTGGTCTATTTTCAAACACTTTTTCACCTACCCAATCCTTTTCTCCATAGCATGTATATAAACCTCTTTTTCATTTAATATTTTTTTCAAAGCTTCCACTTCTTTCTGCTTTTCAATGAGTTCCTTTTGCAGACGGTAATTTGTTTCCTCTAATGTCTCACAAAAAGCCTAGAAGAAAATAACCAACACTTTATTTACTTAAGGCGTATCTTATCTTTCTCCCAGCACAACATTCAATAGTTCTGCAGAAGAAATCTGAAGACTTTACAATGATTAAATTATTTTCCTGCTGTAAGACTTTGAACTAAAATGTTCACAGTGCATAGAACTTGGATTTGATTTTCTTAAAAGGTAAAGGTTTCCTGTGACATTAAGTCTAGTCATGTCCTACTCCGGGTGGGTGGTGCTCATATCAATTTCTAAGCTGAAGAGCCAGCATTGCCCACAGACACCTCCAAGGTCACGTGGCCAGCATGACTGCATGGAGTGCCATTACCTTCCCACAGAAGCGGTATCTATTGATGTACTCACATTTGCATGCTTTCGAACTGCAAATTGGCAGAAGCTGGGCCTAACAGTGGGAACTCACCCCACTCCCCGGCAGGAACCGCCAACCTTTCGGTCAGCAAGTTCAGCAGCACAGCTGTTTAACCCACTGCGCAACCAGGGGGCCCCTTGATTTTCTCAATGGATATACAAATGAGGCAATAATATGGTCAAGCTTTCTCAAACTTCTGGTGGTGGTGGTGGTAGTTGTTTCTGTGACAAAACACCTTATGGACTGTCTGGTATGTGGGAAATAGCAATTTGTAACAGAAGCTGTTTCAACTTACATTTCAATACACTTTCCGAATGACAAATGCTGTGACTGCAACATGAATATGAGATCTCTAAAACAAGATGCATGTTGTAACTTCACCATCTGAATTGAACATCAAGATAACCATGTGAATTAGTCCTACATGATTTTAAGTGCTTGGGAACTAAAATGCAAAGAAATTGAAACGATCGCTCCTGTAGTAAAATCTTGTAGCAACAGCAGACGACTTAGGAAAATACACTTGGAAAAATTACTTGTTTGCCTACTGTTCAAGTTGACTGGAGAATTATGGGAAAAATAATTGTTCTGTGAACGAGCTCACGTACAACAAGGAGATCCAGTGATATTTATCTCCTTTTGCCAGCTAAAACATGTTTGTAATATGTAGTCACTTACAGGGAGGGTTCTTACTGGTGTATGTGCTTTAAATAACTTCATATGATTATTTTAAATAGTTTTTAAAATAGAGGAAATAAATAAATGATAAATAAATAATATTGGGATGGAAAATGCATAACCAGGGGTTGGTTTTGAACCATATTGCAGGTATTCTGTTTCCCCCGGTGCATTTTTTTTGTTATGTCATCAAAAATAAACTGGGTTGCTGTGAGTTTTCCAGGCTGTCTGGCCATGTTCCAGAAGCATTCTCTCCTGACGTTTTGCCCACATCTATGGTAGGCATCCTCAGAGGTTGTGAGGTCTGTTGGAAAACTAGGCAAGTGAGGTTTATATATCTGTGGAATGTCCAGGGTGAGAGAAATAACTCTTGTCTGTATGAGGCAAGTGTGAATGTTGCAACTGGTCACCTTGATTAGCATTTAATGGCCTTGTAGCTTCAAAGCCTGGCTGGTTGCTGGTTGGGGGAATCTTTGTTGGGAGATGTTAGCTAGCCCTGATGGATTCTGTCTGGAATTCCCCTGTTTTCCGACTGTTTTTTATTTGATGTCCTGATTTTAGAGCTTTTTTTTAAACTGGTAGCCAGATTTTGTTCTATTTCCATAGTTTCCTCCTTTCTGTTGAAATTGTCCACATGCTTATGGATCTCAAGTTTATTTCAAAAATAAACTGTTTGTCAGTCCAGGCTATGGTATTATTCTAATGTTCTATTTAGAGGTGCACAAAATCATTTTTACAAGTATCCTGCATGCCTTGCACATGCACAGTAGGTATGGTTATACAAGGCATACCCAAGGTAAAATTCTCACTTTATTTCCAGTTCGGAAGTGAAAACAGGGTTTGGATATCCCAAGGATGAAGCTTTCCACAGGGTTTGCCACAATCGCACTTATTCTCCTTTTTTAAAAAAATCTATTGCATTTTGTTGCTATAGTGACACAGTAAAAGGCAGCCTATTGGAAATCTTTCTAATCCTTTTAAATGTTTTGCTTTACAAAATCTGGTGCACTCTGCCTAAAGAACTGTATAATAGTAAGGAAATTCACTGGATCAAGGATTTTTATGTTATTTGCACCATTACAGAAACTGATTTAAAATCAAAAGCAGGAAATGTGGGTTGAGGAAAAGTGACATCAGCTTCCTAGAAAACAGACAAATAAAGGTGAAGGATGGAGAAATGATTGGGGAAGGTATTAAGTGGCCATCCAAAACTGTCACCAATACAGGAAAGAAAGTTAGGATCTCAATAAAATTATCTGATTTTTTTTCCACATGATATTATATTTCACAAAATTAGCAAATATATTAAAAAGTCTACCATTAATATAAATTATCCTGATTTTCCCCTCACAAATCTTTCCTGCCTCATTACCGTTTCAGAGTTTTTGTGAATTGACTTTTAGCTTTTTCAGTATCTTCCAACTTTTTGCCTATCAATTTTGCTCAATTTCCAGGAAGCAGTGCAAAAACATGTCATTTGGCAAACAAAGTAATTCCCATACTTTGCACATATTTTAAATTAGCTAAGGGGCAATATTCAATTAAATTGATTCTACATTCTTGATTTTAGGTTTAGAGAAAGACAAACAGCTTGTCTGAAGCTTATAGGGCAAAACAACCAGCATGATTAAATATTTAATTCACTAATTAGGACAACAAAACAGGAACAAAACCTGACTCCAAAGGTATTAACCAACCAACCAACAAAAACAAAACAAAACAGGAAACTGCTAATATTTAAATATGAAATACAGCTTATTTATCTGCAGGAGACAAAATCAATTAAACAGTAACCAACATAATTCCAAAACAAACAAATATGTTTTATCTCATGTCCACATCAACAAAAGAGATGCAATCGTACGTCAACAGCTATAAATGATTTCTTTTAAATACAGACATCTTGTACCGAGCCAAAAGTGCCTTTACATGACTTGTCGTTGTCAATAGCAAATTAGCAAGGCTCTCACTATTGTTTTTGCTTCTCTCATTCAGATGTAAGACATCAAACAGATGGTGTGTTTTAGATTCTACTGTTAAAGGCAATGTCCCTTGCTTTCAAGACAGTGGCAATGGCAGAAGCCTTTATATAATTACATGCTTTGAACTTACATTGTCCTATATAGTTTTGATGGCCTTGTTTGTCAAACAAATAAGAATCTTGTCCCTCCTCTTCATAATAATCCTATGCATATTTATACCAAAGAGAGTAGTGTTGTGTTCAGCTAGGTTCTCTCACAGAGAAGCGATCATAGAGCAGAATTATTTCCCAACTTGACACTACTCCTTAATAGATAAGAGACTCTCCTGTTTTGTATTTCAGTGAACAGGTAGGGTTTTTTTCCCTTATGCTGACTATCAAGAACACCTAGTCTAAACCTTCATCTCTAGCTTTGTGTGGAAATTAACAAAAGTTATCGAAACTATTGAGATAACCAGAAAGCTAGACAGACAGTTGAGGTTACTTCCATCAGCCTTGTCAGATGACAATAAACTGTGGAAAGGACATTTAATGGAAATTTAATTCCATCAGTTTTTGAGGGAGGCAGGAAGGCAACTAGGCACCTTTAGAAATTACAGTTTTCAAATATTTAAGAAAGATTCCCAAATTGTGACTGTTTAAGGAGCCACTCATGTACAAAAAGTTATCTTGAATTCTCCAGGGATTTCTGAGATTCATACATACAATCACCAAAACTAAGTATAAAAAGATGGGGTTAAGAAAGTCCCTAAAGTATTCATGCATGTGTTCAAGGAAGGGAAGTAAAGGGACGCAGAAATGATGAAACTGCTTTGCATATGCCACATTGTGAACTTTTAAGTCCCAAATATTGTGTTGGTTCTTCTCTATATGTGAAAGAAAGAGACAAAAGGTAGAGGTAGTAGTAAGAGTGTAGTAATAGGAGGGTACAATATGGAGAAAAGAGAAAGAAGCAAGCAAGGAAAAGAGCTATGGAATGAGGAGTGGACATGATGCATTATGCTTTATCTTCTCTCCCTAGATTTCACTTGTCATTTCTTACTTTAATGTCCATAAACTGAACTTACTTTACATCTCCCTTTCCTTCCTTTTCTAAGCTCATATACTTTAGCCAGCAGCAGTCCAACAATGTTTTGGACCTCTGAGTGACTCTTTCAGTATGTCCAGCAGAAGGTGTGTGTGTAAATGCCGCTGCTTATCTTTTCCACTTCCAACAGTGTTTCCCAGTGTACTATAGGAAGCGGAATAATACAAGATTTTAAAGGAAAAAGCAGATGGACAGGGCAATAGAGAACTGCTTTTAAGGGAAGGGGTTGCTCGCTCCTTCCTTCCTACCTCTCAATTTAATGTAAGTACCAGAAGTAATGAATTATTTCTTTGAAAATGCACTTCCTAAAAACAAAAATCAGTGAGGAGCAATGGGCCAGCAGTTCTTTTTACCTTTAATACACCGGCCAACAATGTGTTAAAAGGAACAACTGTACATGAAACAATAAAGAATGATACAGTTGGCCTGAAGCACCAGAGAAATATCCTTCTTATCTGTGAGCTAAGGCAACATGCCCTAAAGCATTAATAGTATTTTCCTGTAGGGTTCTAGTTTACGTCTAGCTATGATGAGCAAAGCAAAGGGTGACTGATTCTCTTTCATTATAAATGAAAGTCTTCTTAGATCTTCTCAACGAATAGTCAATGTATTTCACCGCTCTTCCTTTCAACTTCTCTATATTTTAAAAATACAATAAATTCTGTTGCTGTGAGCTCTATCATATTTACTGTGAACTATTAATGCAAACAAAACCACTTGGTGCAGGAAATAACAGAGCATTGGCTACGAACCTACCATTTTCTTTCTTTTAAGAAGCCTACAATTAATAATGGAGAATTTATATTTCACAACTGATTTGTAAGACTGCTTCCCCCCCCCCCCAAAAAAAAAAACCCAAACAAAACAAACTTGGCAGTGTTCTGCATTTAGGATTGCAGCACATTCAGTTAATCTCTGGACTAGTGAAGTAATTCCTATTATATAAATGAAGCAATCTTTTCACTTCTCAGATTCAATTATGCTGTCTCTGATGTTTACAAAACCATATAGCAAAAAGAAAATACTGCATGAAAAAACATACTCTAAATAAAATATCCTATTTCAGCAAAATTAGATTATTCTGGGACTGAGCAATATAATGAATAAATGATGAAAATGTATACTGTAATTGTGACTAAATAGTTTCCATTTGATATTAGAAGGCCGGTGAACGGAACATGAAAGAAAAAGGGGCATTTCACTGAGGAAGATTTCAGCCATCCTGAAATTGAGTGCCCAAAAACAAAGCAAGAGGCAGAATAATATGTATGTGAGATTGAAAGCTGTGACAAATAGAACATTCTCTACCTTTTATAAAAAATGAAAAAACACTGAGTTTTATCAAGACTTAATCTGAGATACAGGAAAAGAAATAATGCAAATGACAGTTCAACAAACGGAAAAATCTTGCAGATTGTTTCTCAGTTTTCTCCCTACTTCTATCGCATCCTCATCTTCTCAGTTTTTAGTTACTTCTGTTTCACTGTTACTGCTGTCTGCTTATATTTTGCGGCTTGCGTTGATGTCCATAGATAATTCATCTGATGCCTTTTTGCTCTGTGGCAGTTATGTATATTTTATGGCTAAGATAAATAAAAAAACAACCAAAACTGTATAAACAGCATACCCTAAAGATAAAATAGGATACTTATTATATTTAACAGTGCCATTCAACTATTCTGTTCTAATAATAATGTTATTACACTTACTCTGCTCTCTTCAAGGCTATCAAATGGTCCAGGAGGATCATCCAAGCAGAGAAACTCCCTGACTGCAAGGCTAGGAAAGAATTGGAAAAAGATGTTAGCATCCCAAGCAGGGCAGCCTGAAGCCACATTGTGTGTGGGAATACACACAAAATGAAATGCTTCTTGAAAAAGAAGCTGGTTTTTATTAAAACACAAGAATGAATTTTAATTTTAAAAAGCCTTAATGTTTTCCATAAAATTTTACTCTTTTTACTGTTACTACACTATCACAATATCCCTTGTTAATATACACTACTTTTTATGCATTGCTAGTGGGGTGCGGAGAGAAAAGTCAAGGTAAATAAATATCAAAGTGCATTGTTTAAGTACTTTTTAAATTACCAACATTAAACAATTATAAACAAAAACAATTTAAACAATTATGGCATTTGTAATAGTTGGGTTTCATTAGAACTGCTATTTTTTTCCTATAGACTGATGCAAACCCTGTGCTTATATTTCCCAAACAGTAAACAGATTCTTAAGACCTCAGGTTTTTTTTCAACACAGAAAAGCAATTAAAGTAGCCTGGTATGTCTGGTAGATTGCTCAAAATATAAATTAGATCAAAAAGACACATTGCTTTAAGTATGAACAATGAGCTAGCCTGAACTGGGATGGAAGTCATGCAGCTCTCTGCAATTTCCAGGAAATCTAGCCTTTTTAGCCAAAAGTGAGGAAAGCTGGGAAGCTGCACTCCAAAACATATGCGAATGACATGAATTCCACCCATGTCTAATCCAATTGTTAGTTGCACCCCTATCAGGTTCATTAAATTAAGAGTATTTATGTAAGCACTAAATTCCGACTTATCTGAATTTAGGTCTGAAATAATCAACATTAATTATGCCAAATTACAGCTTATTCAAAATAAAATCTATCATTTTATACACCTCTAAAGTCAATTAAAGGGTTTTTTTTCATGTTAGGAGCAACTTGAGAAACTGCAAGTTGATTCTGTTGTGAGAGAATTGGCCATCTACATGTTACCCAGGGGATGCCCGGATGTTTTACCATGTTGTGTGAGGGTTCTCTCATGTACCCACATGAGAAGCTCATCCCACTCTCCGGATTCGAACCCTGACTTTTCGGTCAGCAGTCCTGCCGACACAAAGGTTTAGCCCACTACGAAGATTAAAACAGACATCAGGGTTTATATATGAACCCAAAATGTACTGCCTTATTCTGAGGATGTGTTATATTTGCATACACTGATAATGGGGTTAGTAAAACTAACTTCTATGCAACTTTCATTGTAGTCCATTCAATGATTTAATATTTTGGACTAGACAAGTCTTTCCTACTCTGATTTTTTTTTTAAAATTTAGGGGAACCTAGGGAGTAACACTTAACATATTAAATCTACCTCTTCTTCAAAATACTTTTTATTAACACAAGTGGCCATGTCTCAATTAGCTGGAAATAGAATTTTTTTGAGTGTGGTGTTCAACTGTGATTACCAATATGTAAAGTAAGATGGCTTCCATTTGAAATGCAATCAATATGGAGGAAATTTTTACACCGAAAGTAATTAGTATAAAAATGTTTCTTTGCATTTCTATATGCAAGCATAAAGGTACACTTTCTATCTTTTAGAGACAACTTTTTAAAAAAAGAAAATACATTTCAAGTAAATTAACTCTTAAATTATTTAGAATAAAGGGCATTGTACTGTGAAAATTCCAAAGGAGAAAATTTGAATATACACATAGAGCTTCTACTGTGCAGCTGCGGCCAAGGTTTGGAAGCAAGAGGATTTCAAAGAAAACAAGTTATCATGTAACTCTGTCATCACTGAGTTTGTAGGATTTAAGGTCTGCCAGTCTGCAGGGTATGGGAATATATTATTATTTCCAGTCATAACATTTGTTCTGCTGAATGAACTATCTAGAAAAACAGAAACAATGCTGCCTTGCTTCATTTGACAGTTATAAGTGCTGACCCTTTCCAAACATAGTTATATTACAGTGGACCTTCTGTTCATGGTTGAACTATTGTTTTGAAAAGATGTTGGAATGAGGTTGCAAATGACTAACTCGGAACAGCTTATTACACGAAAGCATTGCTGCCTGCCTTTGTCCTTTTCATACATGATTTCACTTGCTCTGCAATGATTTCAGGCCGAATGATAAGAGTACAGGCAGTCCCTGTGTTACAAACATCTGACTTACAAACGACTCATAGTAACAAACAGGGGTGAGATAGCAGAAAGTGAGAGAAATCTACTCCTAGGTAGAAAAAATTACTCCTGGAAGAGTAATCATGGGGAAAGGGTGTCTGCACTGAAGCTTTAGCACCAATCCTTGTTTCATAGCAAGCCATTTTTTTTCAAAATCCAATTATCATAGGAACATAAAGTGAAGTGAAACCCTCTAAAAAGGGGAACAAACAGCAAAACAAACACCACAGGGGTGTTAACCCTTCCCTATACTATCAAAGGCTTGTGTGTTTGGAGTTACACTTTAAAAAGTACCTGTTCTGACTTGCAAACGAATTCAGCTTAAGAACAAATCTACATAACCTATCTTGTTTGTAACTTGGGGACTGCCTGTATAAAGACACTTTCAATAGTACTAAAAGTTATCACATGTAAATCTGGTGACAAGAGAACCCAGATATTACATTCAAGCTCTTTTTAAAATCTCAAGATCAATTGGTCTTGGCAAGAAGTCAGATAGTTTTGCTTGCTATGCAGGTTTTGGCAGTTGCAATAAACATAACCAGAAATATTATTTATGTAGGTGGCAAAAGGTCTTCTTTTACTAAAGTAGAAGCAATTCAAATGTATACTATTATATACTGGACAACTATATTAAACACAGGTAACAAATTATAAATATACATTGCAAATGGAATCCCTTTTTGCTAGAAACAAAAAAGAATCGAAATTATAATTATAGAATGAAAATGGATCCTCAGGATCATTTACTCCAACCCACTGCCCAATTGCTTGAATATCAGAAGCTGAAAATAGCAAACAGGAGAGAGCTGCTGCCTTCATAGACTGTTTGGGAGTTTCTCAAAAAAATCTCCTTGCCAACTGTTGAAAAAATATGCTGAACTATATCTCTGGTCCAATCCTGTAAGGTGCCTATAACTACAATATGATGCTTGATATTCAACTAATAAACAATGTCAAATACCTTGGTGTCCTGCATACAGGAAATATTTAAGGGGACTTCAGTGGAGCAATACCATAGTAATACTGGACTTTCTGTTCAAAATTGTAGTCTAAGTAAAGTGCTTATAGATAAGTCTGGGTTTTTGCAATGACTGAAAGTTATGACAAGTTGTTTCAGGATACTCTGCTAAATATATTTCATCACTGTTGTACTAAGTTGAGCAATAATGACTTCAACAGAAAGTTGTACAATACAGAAATGTGCAGCTATTGCAGGGTGTTGCCCTCCTTCTTCTTTATGAACAGCAGAGCACTGAATACCATTTTGGGTTTTTCCTCTAGGATAGGGTGGAGATACATGTGATTCTGGCTCAACTTGTCAGGAAAAAATATACCATATTTACTTGAATCGAATGTTCATCTTTTTTGGCTAAATTACCTTCCCAAATTAGGGTGTGCATTAGATTTGTGTAATATAGTAATATTAATGCTGAGCCAAAGCGAAAGAAGGAATTACTTCAGGAGCTCCTGTTAAAGTTAAAGTGGATTCATTCTACAGCAGGGATGCACCCAAAGGTTTTCTTTTTCATTGCTGAAAGCTTTGGTGTTCTAACACTTTTGTTTTTAAAGAAAGAATTATAAAGACGCTGCCACTGTAATTCACGCCTTTTTTGTCCAAATTACAAAGACTGCCATTTTTGCCACTGTGCATTACATTAACCAGCAAATACTTTTTTGGTTTTGAAAATTGAGGTGCACATTAGATTCAATGGTGCATTAGACAAAGGGATCTGCTAACAGGTTAAACGCCTTTCTCAAACCTCCTCTATATGCACACACATACACACAAGTTAAAACTACAGTAAAGTAGTTTTAACTTGAGCTAAATCAATTCATTCCTTTAGCACAATGTTTGAGTCATTTGTTGATTGATATTCACTAGATCATCTTTTCCTTTGCATAAAATAATTTTGGTCAGTTGAGCAAAAGCACCTACAGTTATACTGAGTGGACTATGAATCTGGAGAGAAGGGGTTGAATTCCTCCCCAACCATGAAAACCCACTCCAAGGAAAGTGAAAGGAAATCTCATCTGAATGAATCTTTCACAGTAAAGTGAACCAGAAAATGTATATTTTGGGTTACGGAACATTGTCTTTGGCAGCAGTAACATTTTTGCCACTAAGTGGCAGACCTCCCTAACCTGTGCTTAGCACCACACAACTATCTCCAGATAAACTTAGGAGAGGCACTTCTCCATATGGAAGAGTCTGTAAACAATTTCACACATTGACGTCATGTGTAGATTTTATTATTTTTCACACATCTGAGAGAAGAGTATATTCTGCTTCCTAGTGGTGTGTATAGTAAGAAGATGAGGTGGTGCTGAAAGTTATGCAAGGACTGATGAGGTGGAAAATGAAAATGACAGACCAAAAGAATATGTAACATCAGAGTGGAGATTTAAAAGTCACTAAGGCATCATAAAATTTGCAAATCAAGCATTTATTAGGGTTTTGTTATAGGAAATATGAGTTGTTTTGAGAAAGTTTGGAAACACTTTAACTAGATCATTAGTGGTGCAACTATTTTTTGTTATATTGATTTTTCCAGATTCTATGTGAAGAATTCACTTATTCCATACATGCAAACAACATCTACTCAAAATATTTGGCTGAACTTTACTGTATAGGTCAGTTTGAAAGACTTCAATGCAACTGATTTTTTGGCAATTGTTTGGCAGCAGTGGCTCCAGTTTATTTGATAAATTTCAAATAGGAACTTGTAATCTCTGGAACTCAAAGAGTAAAAATGTTATGGGAAAAAAAATTCTCTGGTTTCTTTCCTGTCATTTTAAACATTGTGTTTGTGAAACAGTTAAAACTATGTTATTAAGATATTGTTTCATTTCAAACAGGTATTGGGTATTTGAGGATACTACTGTACATGTTCACATGAAGTATAAATGTCATAATTGCTATATTACGGAAAGGGGATCCAGAGCTTTTATAAGATCTTGAAGGGAATTTAGAACCCCAAACAGATTAAAAACCACCGGACTACGAATTAGTATAAATCTCTAAAAGAACAAAGGTTAAAAAAAGTTTCTAATAGCCTTAATAGAAAAGAGGAGTTCTATTTTGGTAACTTTATTTTGTTATTCTGAGGAAATATACTGCCCGGGGGGGGGGGGGGGGGGGGGGCAGGGACTAAATCACTAAATCCAGATTATATAAAAACAATGAAATACAACATTGCAGTATCAGGGATTACTTTTACAAATTAAATATCAAATTATTCAGAACATATAACATAAAGTTATTAAAAATCCATACCAAAAAGCCTATTAGGGACTTAAACACTCAAGTATGAACATAATCTAATGACAATACTTAAGGACATACTGTATAGGATAAGGACACACTACCACTTCCAAAGAATATCAACTATGTTTATGTCTCCCAATCTATGCACCTAACATTCCTGCTCGCCTGCCACACTGTTGCTCAAAATTGTTGCTAGAATGTAACCATTTGAAATACATTTCTAATCTCAAAACCACTTTAACAATTTCAACTGTTGCACAGAATTGTCTTATTGTAAACCAGCAGTTTAGCTTCCTGCACTTCAAAACCCTTCATACACAGAATGAAAATGCAAGCGTTTATAGTCACAATGTATTGTCAAAGGCTTTCATGGCAGGAATCACTGGGTTGTTGTAAGTTTTTCGAGCTGTATGGCCATGTTCTAGAAAAATTCTCTCTTGACGTTTCGCCTGCATCTGTGGCGAAACGTCAGGAGAGAATGCTTCTACAACATGGCCATACAGCCGAAAAAACTACAACAACCCATTTATAGTCACATTATGCTGCAGTATCAGAAAGGAAAATATCTCTTGGTTAAAGCTGATCACATAATGAGGAAGAAGAATACCTCATACCAATTAGCAATGTCTTTGTGAGCTATTAAATTCTGTAGGAATGCTTGCAGTCCCAACTGCCTATCTTCCAAAAAGTCTGGATTGTAATTATCCTTGAACCAGCGCTTTGGTGGAAGTGCCAACCGAAAACCAGGAAACATCTCTTTCAGCTGAAAAACAAAACAAAACAAAACAAAACAGGCTATGACAGTAAATACTTTTTGAGATAGAAAAAAACATAACACTAAGATTGCTTCCTCAGAAGCTCAGCTGTGGTGACACTTGTACACATGGTCTGGCTTTTGTATTTGTATTGACATCACCCTAGTGTTTTGCCTAATGTATCTTTTTCTACTAAGAATGGATGAGATAGAGATACATAACAGCTAGGAGCATAAGGACTCATGCCAGGCTATCCACCTTCATTATAGAAGTGCATAACCTTGATTACATTTTCCACTTCTGAATTATTGAAAGTATAGGAATTTTATAGAGAGAGAAGATTTATCTTCTTCTCTTTCAAGCCACAACCTTAACAATGAAACCAACAGTGGTGCCTTTAAACGAGCCATCTTAAATCCTTGACAGAAACCACGGTCAAATGCTAAAGATAGAGTTCTGTAACACCAAATGGTATTCTAAACTATCTCTTGGAAGCACAGCTTTTAGCGATAATCCCTGGAGGGCAATTATTGAGTCATTGTAGCCAATATATTAATATCCTTTTTTAGCTTCACCCTGGCGTCACAACGAGGGTGTGGTCTTGGCAAAATCTATAACTGCCCTTGCATATAGATTTCAATGTGTATGCTGTCAGGTCATCAACAGATTCAACCAGGCTTCACTTGGTGTCTGTTTCCTGTCACACATCTCTTGCATTTTCTCTCATCGCATTTCAAATTAAGAGGCTTTTTTTTCTTTGTTGGCGTCTATACTTTAATAACATTGTCCTGAATGCACCATGAGAGCTTCATCCTCTATGAAATGATTTGCACTTTCAAAACATTTTCCAGGACTGTCCCAAGACAAAAGAGGGGATTGAGGGAGGTATTTATTTGTGTGCATAAGGAGGAAGTTAATTTTGTGGCATAATTTCTTAACCCTATAGATTATAATTAACAAGGGAAGAGGAATTCAGCTATTTTATCCCATCTAAAGATCATATTAAGACTTACAAATTAAATTTAAGAACAAACCCACAGAATCTTGTTTGTAACTTGGGGACTGCCTGTATATGGAAGTCCCCTTTCTCTGTCTTATCACAATTCTTGGCTTAACTGTGCAAACAAAGAAGAGAGCCTTTTTGATGGCTGCTCCTAGATTTTGGAACTCCCTGCCTAGGAAAGTCAGAACAGCCCTGTGTTTGTTCTTCCTCCATCAGCAAGTTAAGACATTTTAGGTCATCAGGGTTAGGCTTTTAATACTGTGTGATGCTGTTATTAACTTTTGTGTGCTGTGTTTTAATGAATGTTAATGTTTTTATTGTTCTTTGTTTGATCATTTGACTTTAAAAATATTTATAGTTATAATTTTATTGAAGGGTTAGGGATTGTTAGTAGCCTTGAGGACAAAATAGGCATCAGAAAACTAAAAGCTTGCAGATATTAAATCCTGGATAGCCCCGTGAATCAAAAAATACAAAGATTATATGATTTCAGAGAGTCTCTCCTGGTGTTCTTTTAGTATTGCTTCTAATGTTTCAACTGAACAGATTATCTGCTCTTTAGATCAAAGTCTCCACATCACTTAATTTATTTCCAGGAAAAGAAGGAGCCCTGACAATTAGAAGACACATCTGCTTTGTTATTCTGTTTTGTGAGTATCTTATACATATATCCCATTAGACGAAATATCCATACATTCTTGTACTAGTAAACAGAGGAATGTATGATGACCCAGTCTTATTATTCCCACAGTCATGTACATTGTTCCATTACAATTTGGGAACAACTGAGATAGAAAAACCCATCTATTCTTCATTGATTTAATCAACATGATATCAGTATTGCAGGAAAATAATTTAGAATCTTATTCTTTCTCAAGACTGACAGCTTATGTTCCACCAAGGAGTCACAATTTCCTGCCATCAACAACCTTCTGCTGCCACAATTTCTGCCATTACAAAAATCCCAGTGGTTATACTGGGAGATACAGCATATGAGCAGCACAGGTCTTGTTTTTTTTTTTTACCAGAATTGAATTTCTAGCAGTGTACTGGGAAAATGGAAATACAGACGTTGCTTGTCTTTAAGTCAGTTGATCCTATAGGGCTGACTGAGTTGATGTTGCCTCTTTTTTTGAAAAGGGAGGTATATTGTAAACTAGGGGTTCTCAAACTTTTCTAGCTACAAAGCTGTTTTTGAAACAAATGTTTTTCATGTAGCCCCAAATAATGTTTACATTTTATATTATCTCATCTATCTATCTATCTATCTATCTATCTATCTATCTATCTATCTATCTATCTATCTATCTATCTATCTATCTATCTCAGGCATGGAAAAACCTTTTGACCGAAAGATCACATGGACCATCCAGTCCAACCCCCTTTTGCCATGCAGGAAAAGCACAATCAAAGCACCCCCAACAGATGGACACTCAGCCTTTGTAGTAATAATAGTAATAGGAACAACCACAGATGCCATTCAGTTCAACCTTCTTCTGCCATGCAGGAAAAGCACATTCAAAGTACTCCCTGAGCAGTGAGAAGGAAATAGGGTTTTGGAAGCAAGGAAGGTGTGGGAGAAAGGATCTGGGTGGTGAGGAAAAAAACTTGGGGGGGGGGGGGGGGGGGGGGGGGGGGAGGTAGGTGAGGAGATTGAAAGGAGCAGGAAAGAGGAGAGAAAGCTTGGAGGAGGAAGAGGAGGAGGGAGATGGATCCACGGAGCCCCTCAGTATGCTTCATGGGGCCCCAAGGGCTCCCCAGAGCACTTTGAGAACCTCTGTTGTAGACCAAATGAGGAAAGCAGGTCACTTGGACAAATGGTTGTGTCCTTTTGAGATGGACTGAAAGAAGTTGGAAATCTGCACCACTTTACTCCTGTTTGGCAACTGATTGCTTTCTATAAGATAGCATCTTAAAAGCTTAATGGCAGTTTCAAGCTTTTTGTGAGTTTAGTACCATCACTGTTTTCAGAAATGTATGGAAGCAGAACTCCCAATAACATTGGGCTCATCTATATTTTAGATCTTAAATTCACTAAGGGTCAATTAGATGGAATATTTCTGATATTACATTCAGGACAGTGTGCCGTTTTTATGGGTTCTGTGGCAACATTGACTAACTTTTCAAAATAACTTTTGAACTATGAACACAAAACAGAAAAACAGAACATAATGGAGAAATCACAAGCTTTTCGAACTTCTATACCTTGTCATTTAGCCTGGAGAAGTCTGTATACCTTCTGAAGACTACCCAGTTTTCCTCTGGATTTCTCTTAACAAGGATTTTATAAACCTGTTAAACAAAAAATTGTTTGTAGCAGCTTCTGTAAACAATGTCATCGGCATAACTGATTCATACTACACTGCAATTATTTAACTTAAACCTTTTCCTTTGTGAAAACTGGTATCAAAGCTTTTGGAGTAACATTTCAAAATGTTTGCTGCTCCAAAAAAGGATTTCATAAAATATAGATTTTAACATTTAAAAAACCACAAACACAGCAGATTTCAACAATTTAAGGTAAACTCTCATCCCATCAAAGTAAATGTTTGTTTCTTATTAGCAAACATGTTTACAATTAGATTTTTAGGCTCTATATTCAAATAACAATAAACAAATAAAGGCAATAGCCATTTAATATTGTAGTAAAAACCGTTATATTAATGATTACTCAAAGAAAAAGAGAAATTCAATTATTTCTGGCTTGCTTTTAAAAATATTTCTGAAAACTTGAAAATGTATTTCCAATTATCAGTCAGTCACAAGCCAATTCTGCTTCATGAGGATTACTTTCTGTTATCAGGCCAGTCTATTTCTTAAATCTCAATATTGGCTGCTCCCCTGATGGGGGTAAACAGACAAGAATCACATTTCCCTTCATCCCATTAAAATTTTGTTAGATGGGTGTTTTACTTTTGTTGTTAGTTCAAACTGACCAAAGCAAGAGAATGTAAATGGTAATGCAGTCTATCTATACACAATAAAATTGAAAATATGTATGTGTGTATGTGGTTGGGGTGTCCACTTACACAAAGAGACGCCTATTTCCACAAATAGCTATAGCTCTCACTATGCAAGGAACACCAAAGGCCCTCCCTCCAATGACACTGCAGGTTATAGTGAGTGCCATTAACATGTCCAAGAGCTCTGCCAATGTCCTTGGCAAACACCATACTGCCCACCCCCAAGTGAAGGCTTTCATTTGGAGAAAATTTCATCCTATATTTTATCTGTTTCTTCCACTATAGTGTTCCTTCCTCTCTCCATTGGTGAGGAATTTGCATGACCCTGGCCACTGCCTCTCCCTTAACCGTTTCCTATTCTTTTCTATGACACAAAGCAAACAGGAATTGATCAGCAGCTGAACATACTAGAGAAGTTTGGAGAGAATTCACCATGATTTGTAGGAGTTGTAGGTGCTGGGATGCATAGTTCACCTGCAATCTAAGAACTGCACTCTGAACTCCACCAGCAATGGACCTGGAACTCACTTGGCACACAGATCCCCCATGACCAACAAAACATACTCGAGGTCTTTGGGGGGATTTATAGGAGTTGGCGTTCACCTACATCCAGAGACCTCTGTGAATGGATCTGGACCAAACCTGGCACACATACCCAATATGCCAAAATTTGATTACTGGAGGGGTTTTTTTTTTGGGGGGGGGCTGACTTTCCTTTCTGGGAGTTGTAGTTCACCCACAACCAGAGAAATGGTGACCTCCACCAATGATGGACCTGGACCAAATTTGGCACACAGAACCCCCATGACTAACTCAGCCTACTGGAGGGGTTTGAGGGGACTGACTCACCATAGTGGGAGTTGTAGTCTACCCTGCAGCCAGAGAGCACACCAAACCCCACCGATGATGAATCTAGAGTAAACGTGCCCAACATAGCAAACTTCAACTGGCATGATGTCAGTTGTAGTTAATCCACAACCTTATGCATTTTGTACAATTAAAATTTTACTTTCTCATATAACCTGGGCAACACTGGGTACCCAAACTAGTACATCAATAAATGCAAATACAACTGATTTCAGAGTAAATGATCATTTGATTCCTTTCTTGTCCCTCTTCCTCTATAGTGGTAACATTTCAGAACCACCACTTTGAAAAAACAATCTCAAGTGCCTTCACCTGTGGAATTAGGCAGTCAAAAGTAATTAGTTCTACATTCTTTAAGTTCAGTCAAGTTAAAATTACCCATGTGTATAAAGTGGATCAATGTTAAAACTTGTGGAGCAGGAGTGTTTATCATTTAAGTAATTTAATCCTTCTGAAATGACCAAGCTTCTTATGCTAGTCCAGAGAATAACTCAAGAGCCACTTAAGAAGTGACAAGCAGTTAATGAAGAATTCCATACTGCTTGAAAGCACTTACTATGAAACTGGGATTAGTATGTATATTTTGTGACTACATAATTATAGTGTTAAAAAAAAATAAGGAACAAAACAGCTTACAGTGAATTTTGCCCTTTCTTCCATCACCTCATAACCTAGTATCGTGGGAGTGGCAGGTCGATCTTCCCAGTTCCTAGTGTCTATATTTTGCTCACTATCTTCTGATGGCTGTATGCAGTATTCCATAGATGTGTTCATACCTATAAATTTAGTCCTTACAAGTGGGCTATTACAAGGAGATGAAGTGGCACCAATCTCATCGGGGACACTCATCTTTTTAAAACTACCATTAGAAGAATCCTCTAGCTGTCCCTTTGAAGAATCTGAACAGGTTGAAAGACTCCCAAGAGATGATCTTCTTTGGTTTCTAATTGTGGTAAAACTACTTGAACTTCCTATAGGAATCGGAACAGGAACATATGGAGTAGCCATCCTTCATTCAAAACTTTTAAAAGTTGCCACTTATTGACGGTAGAGTTTAAGCTTCTTGCATGTTCACTTTTACTTCAGTTATCTGGAAACAGAACAAAATGAAGTTTAATTGGATTTTGGTATTCCTATAATGACATTCCTTAAAATATATAGCTTCTTTCTTTGCAACAACCAAAAAAGAGTTTTAGAGAATTGTTTCCTTCAAAACCCAGGTTAAATTATGTTAGCATCTTCCCAACACATATTTTTTTTACCTAATGTTGCTTGTTAAAATCTTAACTATTGGTCCATTTTTTTGTTTTACACCTGTTATTTTAAATTTCTGCTATTGTTCATGTTAGAGGGGCAAGGTAGATACCTTGCCCCTCCTCCCTCATGCATAACAAACAGAAACACCTGTCCACCTTCAACTTGCAGCCATCTAATTTGTGGGCAATTTTGGTTTGTGATGGTTGTAATTCATAGTATTAGCAAGATGTCTGGTTGTTGAATAAATACTTTAGAAATCACTACAATTCTTTCTGCAGAATACTTAATCTGAAATCTCAGGTAAATTTCATAAGAAGCACACCAAAACAGAGAAACAATAGCTTGGTTTCAGACATTAATCTGCTGTTATAATGCTTATTAAACGATTCCCATTATATTGCAGAAAGACAAATGGAAATAGATATGGATTTTGGCCTCAGTTCTCACCAACACAAATATTCTTTTAAGAGTGATAATTAGCAATGCTGTGATAGATTTATTAAGAAATATACAGAACAACTATTGGTAAGAATGGTGATGATAGTTTATATAGTACTATATATGGTTTATATAGTACTATCACTTTACATGGTACCTTGCCAAAAAAGAAAAAAGAGGTTTACAATCTAATTTAAGACATGACATAAAAGGGAAAAAAGGATAGCAGTATGGGAAGGGATTAAGTCAATCATGCACTGCCTCTTCTCTCCCTCTAAGACCAGGGCAGTGGTAGTTGGGATGCCTATAAATATAATTTATTTATGCTTGCCATGTCATATATTGACTTTGGACAAGGGTTTAAGTAAGGTGTGGTGTTATAGATTTTTTGGGAGGGAAATGTGTTGGTAAATTGAGGTCACACTATACTTTGCATACATAAGATATAATAAGGTTCCATTGGAATAAGGTGAGGGAATGATACATTGGGAGTGACTAGTGATTGGCTGGATAGTTGGAGAGGATTTTGAAAATGTTGGTGTATGACAGTTGGTCAGAGTGATAGTGGAGGTCAATCAGACTTGGGTTTAGGAGATGAGTGGTTACGAGAATCAGACAAATATTTGTGGAAAACCTCACAGCTGGTGGCAGCAATGGGATTTGTGAAAAATATTGCAGCAAGCACCATAAAAAGTATTTCTCTCTTGCTTTCTCACACACATGCATATTGAGTTATGTACACACACACCCACACAAGAGTATATCTTTTTATTTATCTTATATGTGTTGAAACTGAGTCCAACTCTTTGTTTTACCCATCTTTCTTGTGTTATCTACAAAGCTAAGTCTGAAGTTTTCACAGGTAAGCTATTCACAGTATGTTAAAAAGTCAGCTATCAAAGTGTACCTGTAAATTAGACAAACAAAAAGTTTAAAGATGAGCATACCAGAATTATAAAATTTATAATACTAATACCATTACATATGAGCATATTTGGAAAGTAATAACAGAGCTGTCCTTCAGATAAGATGTTGATTAAAGAAGAAATGTGGTCATTTAAAATTTTAAACTATCAGACATATTAACAATTTATATGGCACTCTAATATACATTCCACTGCAACAACCATTATGCCATCCAGCATATACTTGGAATATAGAAAAATTGTATTTGAACTATACGAATGTGTCAAGTGGTAGAAAAAAAAAGGTGATGAAAGCAACCACACTGTTGTTCTCTGAAATGATTAATTTCTGACAAACATACTGCAAAGGTACTGGGATATTCGTATTTCTGAATTGCTAAATGCTGTTAAATAGCATACCTTACATAATTGCATCACCCAAAACATCATCAGGAAGAGTAGGTGAAGTTTGTCAGACTGTGTATTTCTAAGAAAAGCCCCTTAGAGTTACATGCAGCATTTGAATAGTGCTGAATAAAAGGAGTTAGAATTATGTAGACTATCCATTAGTCTACATAATGGATAGACTAGATTGTAGCGCTGCAACTGCAACTGAGGAGAAAAATGCAAAAGCAGTATTTGGAGAATGTGAAATTTGTCGGGTTTGCTTTCATGAAAAGATGAAAGAGAAAGAAACAAAATGGGGACAGAAAATCATTTATGGATGTAGAATCAACTTGTATCTGTCATTTTAAGGCAACAAATCAGCAGAAATGCAAGAAATTTGGATTAGCAGTTCGGTATGCAAGACAGAAAGTAGTATGAAACAGGGTGTGTTTCATATAACTTTCTAATACTATATTTTGTGATGAATGCAATTCATCTTGAACTAAATCTGGGGATCTCAACTTAGCAAAGCCAAGGCACATGCCAATATACTATCACCAGTGCAGGAGGCAACTGGATTTACTGGTAATTCCTTCATAAGACAAACTCCAAGTTTGTTCCCAGTGCTAGTGCACAGGGTATCCAGTTGGATGGAATATATTCCTCTAAAACTTCCCTAAGGAAGCATATTATTTGCTTGAGATGATGAACTAGCTCTGAGAAAAATATAAGAAATTGGTCCTGGCTCAAGTTAAGCTATGTCCAGGTGATGAGGATTCATTCCATTTCTCGCCAGTCCAAGAAAAATAGAAAATACATTATTGAAGAAATTGTAATGTACTGCTTTAGCAGTTAAAGGAAACATACATCAAGATCTAATTTTGCTAGTGAGATACAGCATGGATTGCAGCTTGTAGAACGAGGGGAACATGGGGAAAGGCATGTACTAGTTCCTAGGAAGAGGACAATCTATACTTTTCTGCCCATACAAATCTTTACAGTGAACAATCTCAAGTTTAATTTGAAGCAATTTGAAGTTATGTCTCGACAAGACAGGGGTGCTCCTGGTCAATCAAAAAGTTAATCAGGGAACAGGCATCCAAATAGTGTCGGAGGTCCAGGTTTCTAGGATGGCCAGAATAACTTTTTTTTGCAATTAAAGTTAATGTATAAACTATGTCTGTTCCTGGAGATGCTTGATATGGCCATTGATGCATGTCTCCATTACTTTCCATTTGAATTGTTACAATGCACTATACATGAGCCTGCTTTTGAAGAGTGTTCAGCAACTTCAGTTGGCAAAAATAGCTGTAGCCAGTAAGTTAACTGAGGCAGATACAAGTTACTCAGTTCTACAACAACTCCTCTGGCTGCCAGTCTCTTTTTTGGTGCAATTCAAAGTGCTAATTACTGGTACAACATACAAAGGCCTATATGGCTTAGTTCCAAGCTATTTCACTGACCATATCTCCACACATAAACAGGCCCAGGCCTAATATCCCCTCTCTGTCCCACCACCTTTGCAGACAGAGAGGTAGGGATGTGAGGTATCAGCTTTTTGGTGGCCAACTTTAGGCTCTGGAATTACCTTCAAAGAGATGTCAAAATGCTCTCTTTCTTGCTGCCCCTTCTATCAACAGACAAAGACTTTTTCATTCAGAGAGGCTTTTGAGATCTGAACATTTTGAAAGAAAGTAAAGAGGTACTGCACTCTTTGACTGCATTTTTAAAATTATGTTAAAAGTATTTTAATTCTATAATTAAATGTAATTATTTCAAAGTTATTAATAGTTTAATTCCATTCTAATGCTGTGTTCATGAGTCAACAAGACAGCAAGGATCCCAAAGGAAGAGAATAATGTAAGTCTGTGTGATGAACCAAACACCTTGTCTCACTTCATTTTCCAGCGATGAGTGGGATCTGGGACAAACGCCTATGAGCACCAATCTCACTATCAATTATCACTTGAATTCCTTATATATCTCATATAACATTGTAATATAATATCAACTATATCTCCCAAACAGGGCACAAAACTCATCCTATTAAATTCCTATATTCTATGTTCAGAAAAAGGATTGTGTCGCACCTTTTGTGTGGGCTCCCATTAAACACATATAAAAGTTCTATTCTGGTGGGTCAACTCATCCTACAATCAAGATGAACTTAGCAGATAAGAAAGTCTTGGGACAGATTAAAGCTATAGCTCTCAGTAAAAGTTTATATTGATGTTGCTTATTGGTTTGATTTCATAGAATCATAGAGTAGGAAAAGACCTTGTGGGCCATCCAGTCCAACACCCTGCCAAGAAACAGGAAAACTGCATTCAAAGCACTCCCAACAGATGGCCATCCAGACTCTGATTAAAAGCCTCCAAAGATGAAGCCTCCATTACACTCTGGGGTGGAGAGTTCCACTCCTGAACAGCTCTTACAGTTAGGAAGTTCTTCCTAATGTTCAGGTGGAATCTACTTTCCTGTAGTTTGAAGCCAATGTTCCAAGTCCTAGTCTCCAGGGCAGCTGAAAACAAGCTTGCTCCCTCCTCCTTTATTTCCTGGGGACAGCAAAATTGCTTGCATCTCATTTTAAAAACAATACCCTTGTTGGATTGTTGTAGGTTTTTTTGGGCTATATGGCCATGGTCTAGAGGCATTCTCTCCTGACATTTCGCCTGCATCTATGGCAAGCATCCTCAAAGGTAGTGAGGTCTGTTGGAACTAGGAAAAAGGGTTTATATATCTGTGGAATGACCAGGGTGGGACAAAGGACTCTTGTCTGCTGGAGCTAGGTGTGAATGTTTCAGCTGACCACCTTGAATAGCATATAAGGGCCTGACAGTGCCTAGAGCAAAGTGTGTTGAGATGTGATTAGATGTCCTTGTTTGTTTCCTCTTTGTTGTTGTGCTGTTGTAATTTTAGAGTTTTTAATACTGGTAGCCAGATTTTGTTCATTTTCATGGTTTCCTCCTTTCTGTTGAAATTGTCCACATGCTTGTGTCTTTCAATGGCTTCTCTGTGTAGTCTGACATGGTGGTTGTGAGAGTGGTCAAAATGAGATTATGCTAATCAAGGTGGTCAGTTGAAACATTCACACCTAGCTCCAGCAGACAAGAGTCCTTTGTCCCACCCCGGTCATTCCACAGATATATAAACCCATTTTCCTAGTTCCAAAAGACCTCACTACCTCTGAGGATGCTTGCCAGAGATGCAGGCAAAACGTCAGGAGAGAATGCCTCTAGAACATGGCCATATAGCCCGAAAAACCTACAACAACTTAGTGATTCCGGCCATGAAAGCCTTCAACAATACAATACCCTTGTTTACACACAGATCGAAGCTTGGGCCCTCCAGGTGTTTTGGACTCCAACTCCCACAATTCCTAACACCAGGCTGTTAGGAATTGTGGGAGTTGGAGTCCAAAACACCTGGAAGGCCCAAGTTTGCCCAAGCCTGGTCTACACTGTATAACAAATGCACTTTTGACACCACTCTCATGTGCCATGGCTGCCTGTCATGGGGCCATGGGAAAGTACAAGGTCTTGAATCTTCTCTCACCAAACTACAACTCCCAGGATGCCAGTATTGCACTGGGCCATGGCAGTTCAAAGTGGTGTCAATAAATGCATTCAACCTGCATTGTAGATGCATCCTGAGGGAGAGGCAGCACTAGCAAGGCAATACATGCGGCCAAACTGTGAACTCTGAGGTGGGTTGGCTGTTAACTGAGGGAAGGAGCATCTTATTTTCCTCTTCCTTCCTTCAGAAGCCTCCTGGGCCGCTTACCATACCTTCCTTCCTTCCTTCGCAGACTCCCTCGCGGCCGCCCAAACCCTCCTCCTGCCGCCTTCCTCTCCTCCTTCAGTTCTCCTGTTCGGCTGCCAACCGAAAAGTCACGTGACCGGCGCCCAGGGCGGGAAGCGGCGTCTACCTGTTGTTTGTTGTTCTCAGCCTCTCTCCCAAGTCCTCAGACCGAGGAGACTTCAACTCCCGGCATGCCTCGCGCCCGGCGCCTCGCAGCCAATCAACAGCCTTTGCTTGCTTTCCCCCTTCCTTTAAAACTCCAAGCCCCAGAAGGCACCGCGGCTACATTTCCCGCGCCTTGCTATTTGCTCAAACCGAAAGCGGCCCTTCTCGTTTTCGCAGGGCCTGCTGGGATTTGTGGTCAGGCGCCTTTGCAGCAGTACAACCCATGCCTCGCTTGATTGTGATAGTGGGGACTGGTCGCACAGCCCTAGTCGACCCAATTTATGATATATTATACATAATTTTTTGGCCCAGCTTCTGCCAACAGAGCAGTTCTAAATTATATAATAAATCATGTATTATATAAAACATAAATGATATAAACAAATCAGCTTATGTTATAATAATAACAATAGTAATAGTAATAGTACCTCCCTATAGAGGTACGATCAGCCTCTTCGCTGATGGTGTTTAGGAAGAGACTCAAAACGTGGCTGTTCAAACAAGCATTCGGCTAATCTGTGGCAATTCGAATATTGATGACTAAGGACAGGAAACATGGACAACGAATTCTGGATTGCGATTTCAACTCGAGATATATGGGATTATTATTGGTGGCCCAATAATTTGTTATTGAATTTGTTATTATATGTGTATATGTTTTTAAATTGTAGATTGTTTTAACTGCTGTAAACCGCAATGAGTCGCCGTTCTAGGCTGAGATATTAGCGGTATACAAGTGTATCAAATAAATAAATAAATAAATAATAATAATAATAATAATATTATATATATATATATATATATAGAATCAAAGAGTTGGAAGAGACCTCCTGGGCCATCCAGTCCAACCCCATTCTGCCAAGAAGCAGGAATATTGCATTCAAATCACCCCTGACAGATGGCCATCCAGCCTCTGTTTAAAAGCTTCCAAAGAAGGAGCCTCCACCACACTCCGGGGCAGAGAGTTCCACTGCTGAACGGCTCTCACAGTCAGGAAGTTCTTATATATATATAGGTCGTGTCAGGAGCGACTTGAGAAACTGCAAGTTGCTTCTGGTGTGAGAGAATTGGCCGTCTGCAAGGACGTTGCCCAGGGGACGCCCGGATGTTTTTGATGTTTATCATCCTTGTGGGAGGCTTCTCTCATGTCCCCGCATGGGGAGCTGGAGCTGATAGAGGGAGCTCATCCGCGCTCTCCCCGAATTCGAACCTGTGACCTGTCAGTCTTCAGTCCTGCCGGCACAGGGGTTTAACCCACTGAGCCACTGGGGTTATATATATATATGCTCTGTGCGTAATGAGTACCTTAAAAACAAAAGAACAATGAACAAAATCGCACCAAATTTGGCAACAAAACGTCTCACAACACAAGGAGTGACCATCACTCAAAAAAATTTAAGATTTTGTCATTTGGGAGCTGTTGCTGGGATTTATAGTTCACCTACAATCAAAGAGCATTCTGAACTCCACCAATGATGGAATTGAACCAAACTTGGCACACAGAACTCCCATGACCAACAGAAAATACTGGAAGGGTTTGGTGAGCATTGACCTTGAGTTTGGGAGTTGTAATTCACCTACATCCAGAGAGCACTGTGGACTCAAACAATGATGGATCTGGACCAAACTCTACACGAATACTCAATATGCCCAAATGTGAACACTGGAAAATAGAATCTTGACATTTGGGAGTTGCAGTTGCTGGGATTTATAGTTCACCTAGAATCACAGAGCATTTTGAACCCCACCAAGGATAGAATTGGGCCAAACCTCCCACACAGAACCCCCATGACCACCAGAGTGGGCCACAGTAACGCGTGGCAGGGGACGGCTAGTACAATATATAATACTAATAGTATTATATATTGGTGGAATATATATTGTGGCATAATAATATAGTACAATATAATAAGATAAGATAATTATAATATTACTAATAACATTGCAGTATAGTAGTATAGTACAATATCTATATAAATAAAAATGTAATATTTGTTTGTGGGATTAACATTACTCAAAAACCACTGGACGAATTGACACCAAATTTGGAGACAATGCACCTATCAAGCCAACAAGTGACCATCACTCACTCATAAAAACACTGAAAACACAGAAGAGACTTTAAAAGCCAATAAAAAACCAAAATTACATTACAATGCATGCACAAAACCACATATATACACGCACACACATATATACACATATACACAAATATACATACACATACAAAACAAATATACACAGACTGGGCCACAGCAACACGTGGCAGGGGATGGCTACTAATAATATATAATACTAATAGTAGTATAGTTCAGTATAATAATACTAATTTTGTGCTATGTTAATAATATAATATATTGTACATACATATAAGGGCCCCTGGTAGTGCAGCGGGTTAAAGCGCTGAGCTGCTGAACTTGCTGACCGAAAGGTCAGCAGTTCAAATCCGGGGGATGGGGTGAGATCCTGCTGTTAGGCCTAGCTTCTGCCAACCTAGCAGTTCAAAAGCATACAAATGTGAGTAGATCAATAGATACTGCTTCAGCGGGAAGGCGCTCCATGCAGTCATGCCGGCCATATGACCTTGGAGGTGTCTACGGACAACGCCGGCTCTTCGGCTTAGAAATGGAAATGAGCACCATCCCCCAGAGTTGGACATGACTAAACTTAATGTGAAGGAGAAACCTTTGACTTTACTATACTATATTGGCAGTATATGTGTTGTGGTATAGTAATATAGTACAATATAATAACATTAATAAATATATATAATTTTACTTTAGCAGTATAGTAGTATAGCACAATATAATAATATATAATGCTAATTCTCTGCTATGCTAATAATATAATATATTGTAAATACATATAATATTACTAATAATATTGTAATGTAATACAATTGAATACAATTAATAATACAATATAACAACATATAGTAATAGTATTGTAATATAATAATACTAGTATGTTAATTATAATACTACTGATAATATATAATAATATGCAATGGTAATACTGTTTTATTATTGTATATTTTGCAATGTTAATTAATTGTTAGCTGCTTTGAGTCTCCATATGGAAGGATAAAGCAGGATATAAATAAAAACAACAATAATAATATACTTTAATTATCTTCCACTTTCTCTCCCCGGAGGGACCCAGAGCGAATTCAATGCCTTTTAAAACAATGAACAACGACATACAATACACAGATAAGATAAAGGCCTTTCCCTTTTTATCTCCAGCATCTGGGGACAATGCACAACTCCGAGCATGGGGAAGTGCTCTTGTTCCCCTTTTCCATGCCGACAAGTCTGTTTTCCATAGACATCTCCGATCATGTTTGGCTGGAATGTCTTCATGTCTGCATGGGGTGCCTTTTAACCTTCCTGACGAGGCATTACTATTGAGCTACTCGTATTGCATGCTTTTGAACTGCTAGTTTGGCAGAAGCTAGGGCTGACAATTCGGAGCTCACCCCAACCCACGGCTGCCAATCCTCCGTGTTTTCCAACACATTTTGGGATCCTACTGGTTCAACTGAGGCCAAAGAGAAGCCTTTTCTTTGACACGGAAAGCAACAAATAAGAATAAATAAATGAACAATAAATAAGCGCAATGCGGCAATGTTATATCAAGTTTATTATACATAAATAAAATATAAAATTATATCAAATTGAGCAGGGAGAGTGTGTGAGATGGGTGCTGCGCTTCAATAAATGCCCTCCATTCCTGCGAAAAGGAATTTTAAAAAAAGCACAACCACATGCCTGTTTCCTCTTTCTGAAACTAAAAAGCGAAATATTCCAGACTGCAATCCTATAAAAAGCTTACCTAAGATTTAGGCCTAATTATATATGCTAAGTGTAGACCAGGCATGGGCAAACTATGGCCACCCAGGCGTTTTGGGCTGTTAGGAATTGTGGGAGTTGAAGTCCAAAACACCTGAACGGTCGAAGTTTGCCCATGCCTGGTATAGACTCAGATAATGCCATTTAACTTTGTTGAACTTTATTACATGAGTCTACACTGACCACATAATGTAGTTCATGTGTTTTTTCCCATTTTGAGTAGTTTATTATTTTGTATCATTATTGATTTGTCTTGCTAGAGCTGTTATTGTAGACACAGGAGGAATATTAGGAAATTCATCAGAACATACTGTATTTCACAACAGGGCCACCTTGTGGTAATGAGATTTATTTCAGTTATTACACTATGTTTGTAACAAAATTTGAAAAAAATTCTATTCCTGGTTTGAAAGTATTATTTCCAGTTTAATTGTGTGGTACTTGCTTTGAAAGTAGTTGTTATACTCCAGAAACTTCAGTTTTGAGGCTGCCACAAACTAGGTTGACTTGGTTATGACTGTAGAGATATTAACTGAAAAACTATAGCAAAATGTGATGCAAAATGCCCCACAAAAACAATGTTTTTGCAGTTTAATAAACTTTATCCATGTTTTTAATGAGATAATCAACTTAGAAGTGACATTTATAACCCAGGAACAAAAATCGTGTTACATAGTGTTATCAGTTTGCACTCAACAGTGCTTCATCAGAACCTTTCTGCCTATTTTAATCACATCTAATTCAGAGTTTGGAAAAAAAATCTGGACTGCAACATTTTCCTAAGGATATAAATGATGGTGATGACAATTGGAAAATAATACAACTCCCAGAATCCCCAAACATGTGCCAAAACAATAGATGCTAGATGTTATTGTCGAAACAAATATACATATTTCCATGCTCTGGCTTCCATTGGCTTCCTAATATCTGAATTCTACATTTCGTTCATTCATATACAGTCTCAGAGGAAGATGAATTGGAAATGAAAGAAAATGAGGTTGTTCATAAATCCATGTGTTCTGATAGATGCATTAGATAGCAATAATTTGAGTATTTTGCTTTCTTCAAGTCATCCCATCTTAACTTGAATATTATTACATAGCTGGAAAGGAAACACCAAATAATAAAATATTAACACATCTTCCTATTTTAATTTTTTCTAAGTTGCTATAATTCATTTTAGTTTTATCTA